AAAGTCATGTTGCCCATATTTTTTCAGCTAGTGGATGACGTGCACTTTGTCGCGGTGTGCACTCAAAATAATAATACAATACAACAATTATACGTAGTATAATGAAGTAAGGTTCGTATCCACAGGGAAAGGAATATTTCTCTTTTTAATTAACTAGTAACAAAAAGGGGGGGTTTAGGTTTGAGTGATTTAATTTAATTAAATACGAAGATGAACGAGTTATGTGGTTTAATTAATGAGAAGGAGACTTGGCTTTGCTTTTATCCACTTAATGAAATGTTCGTCGATCCCGGTTATATCTTTAACTATCTTCCTCTCGAATACTCAATCGAGGAGTATATCCAATTCATCGAGGGTAGTTATTAATAACGAGACGCGTTCATTAATAAAACTTACTACCGAGTTAATATAGAACACGCGCCGTATATTCACTCGATAGTAGCAATAAAATCAAGATGAAAACGATTGAGATTGATAACCTCAACACAAGCGGTTTATTGGTTTAATCAATATAATTAATTCCCCTTGGTTTATTAACCATGAAACGCATGCATTAATAACCCAAGTTTACTACCGCGAAAGGACCGAATTAATAACAAGCGTATTAATCGACCGATTCTAGTAATAATTAATATATGAAACAAAACTAGTTGATCCTTTAAGTAATGTTCAAAATATTAATATGAAATATGAATAGGAATTAATTAATACTCAAGGAAGAATATTAAAGAAGATGAATCCTACTATAGTTAATATCAAGATGTTAACTAATTGTCATCTTAGTAACACTCCCCAATATTAACATAGAGGAAGAAATAGCTATTACTATAACTAATGTCAAGATGTTAACTAATTGTCATCTTAGTGACACTCCCCAACATTGATATAGAAATAGTATTTAAAGGAAGAATTAATATTCAAGGAAGAAGATTAAAGAGAATAACTCACAACTTACAAATTCATTAAGCTTCAAAGTAGCAAAACCAAGATGGAAGAGTTTAGCTCCTCATTTGGAGACTAAACATGATAGAAAATATAAAGAAAACACTAATCTAAACTGAGCTAAAGAGTATATGTGAATTGGTCCTTCTTGTGGAGGAAATGGTGTGTATTTATAGGCTTTTTAGGCCTGCAGGGTCGTGTACCCGATCGAGTTTTTAGCTCAACCGATCGGGTAAGGGTTAGTTTCCTCGAAACTGAAAATCTGGGGTCATACCCGATCGGGTATGTCGGCTACCCGATCGGGTATGGATACGCGATCGAGTTAGAAAATCCTCCTGCATGTTGCCTTGTTCCCGGATTTATCCGATTTGACTTTTCAGCAACTTACCCGATCGAGTATAGGGTATACTCGACCGGGTACACTACCAAAAATCAGAATCTTCATCTTTTCTTGAAATCTTTGCACCTTCCTTCCAATTGTGATGTTCACCAATGGTCCCTAGAGTGGTCTTGGACCTGTTTGAGCTCAAAATCAACCTAATCTAAACAATTTACAAATATTTTACAAACTAAACTTTTACACCAAAAGTGTGTAATTTCTAGAGTAACAATCACTCAAAACTAATCAAAAACACAATTATAAACACGGAAATAACATGAATGTCAGTGGAACTCAACCCGAAACACCATGGGGTCAAAGAATGCTTGGAGATATTTTTGCAGGATATGTGCCGCCGGTGGACACCACAAACTGTGTTTCCCAAACCACAGGTCATGATTATAATAATTTTTCTCCAAATGTAAATGATGTGTCTCATTTGGCAGACCAATTTCATAATGTTCTACAAGCAGCAGATCAACCTTTATATGAAGGATGTCAAGAAGGCTCGAAATTACAATTTGTCGCTAAGGTAATGAGTATTATCTGACTTTAATGTGCCTCGGGATGAAATAAATCGGTGGTTGGAATTACTTGGATGATACTTACCTCGTAACCACACTGCCCCACGGAATTACTATGAGACCAAAAAACATACTTCCAACTTGGGTCTTCCGGTGATAAATATTGATGCTTGTCGTAACGGGTGTATGTTATTTTGGAAGGGTGATAAAGAATTAACACATTGTTCATTTTGTGGTGAACATCGATATAAGTTGCAGGAGGACGAAGAATGTACATCCAAAAGAAGAAATTGGACAGTTGTTTCTGTATTAAGGTATCTGCCCTTGACACCAAGACTGCAGAGGTTATATGCATCATGACAAACAGCTGAAGAGATGAAGTGGCATGCAATGCATGAAGCAACTGGGAGTTTGATGGGACACCCTTGTGATAGTGAGGCATGGAAACACATTGACATGATGTACCCAGACTTTGCCTCAGAGCCTCGAAATGTACGACTTGGCTTATGCTCTGATGGTTTCGCCACACATGGACAATATGGTGCATCATACTCTTGTTGGCCCGTCATCTTAACGACATACAATCTGCCTCCTGGTATGTGTAATGAAATATCCCTACATGTTTTTTTCTCTCATTATTCCGGGCCCAATATGTCCAAAAAAGAAAATTGATGTCTATTTACAACCTCTTGTTGATGAATTGCACCATTTGTGGGAAGAGGGTTCGATAACATATGATGTTGGATCGAATACAATGTTCTCAATGCGTGCCGTTTTAATGTGGACAATAAGCTACTTTCCCGCATATGGGATGTTGCAATTGGTATTATTTATATTTTTTTAGTGGTACAACTTCACATTGACTTTTGTGTTCTATGTTGTATGCAGTCAATTTGTAAATATTCTTCAATCACAGGGCCGAACCAACATTGATCATATCATTGCAAACAACTTTTCTGATTGGTACTCTGCATATGTAAGTCTCATCAAATTCAGATGCCATACATTTAAATAGCTAGTACTATTTTTCAGAGATGCATAATGTATTATCTTTGAAATTTTAGGTACTCAATCCTTACAATGGAGTATCTGATCCTCTCATTAGAGCTCTGGCCGGTGGAATAAGCTCATTTCCAAGAGCGTGGCCTGCATATATAGTTGGTGGGTACACATTTCATACAACATCTTACGGAATTCGAAAAAAAACATTCAATAGTGGAATATGTGTGCGTTCATCAAACTTTAACTATGCAACCACAGATTGGATTGGTACTTTAGAAGAGATACATGAAGTGGATGTATTGTGTCCGGTGCCACTTCAAGTTGTTCTTTTTAAATGTAAATGGGTTGATCCTATGAGAGGGATGCGAGTACATAACAAATATAACATTGTGGATGTGAAGTTAGAATGTGTTTATAGGGTGTTTGAGCATTTCATACTAGCACAACAAGCTAGTCAGGTATTTTTTTTAGAATATCCAAGTTCCATAGGAGCTAGTGTGAGAGGATGGAAATGTGCTTGCAAAGTGAAAGCAAGAAAGACAATTGAAGGTGAGTGGAAAGATGTCGATGATTCTCCATATCAAACTTATGACACACAACCTCCACCCATTGTTGAAATTATTGAAGAATTCATTAAGTTGCAAGATGCAGGGCAACAAATACTCATCCCTGTAGAAGAGGTAATTGAAGCAACAACTGTAACAGAAGACGTCATTGTACAAGTAATTGATTATGCAGAAGAGTATGGTCAACAAACTACCATGATGAATGCATATGAAAGTGACGAGGACCATGAGGGCGAAGAACAAGAAAATGTCTCTGAGTAGGGGTGGGCATAACGGTTTGGTTTAACCGAATCGAACCGTACCAAACCGAACTAAACCGAACCGAAACCGAACCGTATGCAATTTGGTTTTAGTTTGGTACTATTTCTTTCAAACCGTATTAAACTGAACCGAACCGAACCGAAACCGATAAAAACCGAACAAAACCGAACCGAACCGAACAACACACACACACACTTTGTATTTATCTTCACTCTTCATTTTAAGATATAAATAAAAAATTTAGACATGAAAATGCATATTTAAGCATATACTCGTATTATTTTAACTTTTACACATTTCAAACATTCATTATGACAAAGTTAGCTAATACGACATATTTGTATTTATTATGGTTGGCGATATCAATAGCAAATTGTATTTATATTTCTATGTGAGTCTTTGGTTTAGTTTGTTTCAATTGGTTTAGCAGGTGAAGGCAGGTTGTTTAAGCTAGGTTCTAGTATTTCATTTAGTTGGAATTTCAATTGGCAGGTTGTTTAAGCAGGTGAAGGCAGGTTGTTCAATTGGTTTGGTGAAGGCTGGTTCTAGTATTTCATTTAGTTGGAATTTCAATGAAAACAAAACAATCAAAATTACTCAAAGTGGATTGTAACATATGAAACAAGACATAATCATTTTCAAGTTTATAAACTGAACATCAAACCGAACACCAAACCGAACCGAACCGAATTTGTCCCAAACCGAACCGAAACCAAACCGAAATTCTTTTGGTTTGAGTTTGGTACTATTTTCCTCAAACCGAATGAACCGAGACCGAACCGAAACCGATAAAAACCGAACCGTAAACCGATTCGCCCACCCCTAACTCTGAGGATGAGGATGAGTAGCGTTTTTAATGAATAATGTAATTCAATTGTTAATTATCTTTAATGATGAAAGTGTTTCATCAAATATTTCTTAATTATCTTTAATGATGTCTTTGAAGAATAAATTTTGGAATTTAGGCTAAAAACAGTCAACATCTCAGAATGTTTTTACTATTATAAATAACTTAATTATTCCACTTACTTAATTATGAGGGGTACTTAATTAGTCCGGGTACTTGAGCGTTAATAAATACTATACTATTATAAAAATAAGTCGGGAGATTGAAAATTAGACGTCGTTTGGCAACCTCTTTTTTCGGCTTATCAGGCTTATCAGCCGATTTTCATGCTACAAAACGGGCTCTTAATCCTATTGTATTAGGATTTTTTTACTTGAAGTGTAATTTGCTACGCTCGTCTGGTCTGGTATGGTCTGATCTAGTCCAAAAATAACTATTTTCGTATCCCAAGCATTTTAGAACCTTCAATCCCCTTATCCTAAGCCCATGACTTTAGAACCAATCTTTATACCTAGACGACATGTGAGAGCTCCTGGACGGATGAGTTGAGACCGCCGCCGCTAAGGGTTATTCACCAATCTGAACGTCGGACGTCACCATTCCAGGTACGCTACTCTTCTCATATTGTGAACACAATACGAATCTGTCTCTATTCAATTTCATATGTTTGTTCGTTGGTTTATAGCTACTCATTTTCCAAAGATTTGAATATTATTGATTTCTTACAATATAGAACAGTTCTCTATCTAAATTTATTCTAGCTTCGGAGGGTTTTAGAATTTTTTTACAGCTGTCTATATTTACAAAATAAATTGCGTATAAAACTGCTCCCTATTTAAAACTACGTAATCTAAATACTATATTTACTTTTAGTCTGAAACTAGAAGATAGGGATAAATTAGTCAAATAAAAATTAACACCCCCCCCCCCCCTGAAATTGCCAACCCGAAGGAGCCCTTGGTTTGGTTTCCACTTTCACTAGTTTGTAGCTCTACTTGTTAACTCTGTTGGTTTATTGGATTTGTAGATTATACCAAACCAATAACCTTATTTAACTTATGTGATAGCTAGGGAATAAAAGGTAAAATTTCATTTCATTTCATATAAGCAATTAAATAAGTACAGTAGTTTAAGAAAACTAAATGGAAGTAGTTAAAGTAAATAATTGGGAGGCTGAGAATGTAATTGGATGGAGTAAATGATTAATAGTATTTGTCTTAATTACTATGAGTGTGTTTATTATTATAAGTATTATCATAAAAATGGTGCATACCACATTCAAACTCAAATTAGTTATGTGTACTTGATTATGGTGGTGTTTGGAATAGTTAATATGGCGAGGAAAAGGTCGAGTATGGAAAAAGGAAACGGTGTAGGGAATTTTTCCACATACCGTGACGGCGGTGCTCCTTTAATTGAGGATGATACATCGAGCGAGGAGGAAGAAGACACCATAGAAGGAAGTGAAGGTACACCTCAAAATGAATCTGAAGGCTCTCGCTACTTTTCCGGGTCAATTGAAACAAATTGCATGCCGCTAACAATTCGTGATATGGAAAGGTAAGTAACATACATATGTTTAAATAACGTCAATAACATTATAAATGTAAGTAATATATATGTTTTATAAATGTGTGTAGGCGAGGACTCCAAATATGAGTGTACTTCGTAAGGCTCTTGACGAAATGAATTCTGAGGACCCTAAGACTTTGGCGGCCCAGCCGCCACCGCCGGCACCGTCTCTGACATTGGGGAATGCTTGGTCGTCCAAGAGATCGTTTGTTTCTGTTCTTTTGGGCAAGGAAGATGCTACTTTAGCGGCCACCACTACTCGGTACAAAGGATTGCCTGCTGCAAGTTTTACAGTTGATGATGTTGGTATTCTAGCAGACAAGCACAAACGAGCTCTGGTAGGTTATTTCTATCGTGATCGTCCTTCTATGGTCACCCTTCGCAAATCCTTTGATATTATTGGGTTTAAGGGGGGTTATCAGTTAGGTTTGCTAGAAAAAAAACATGTGCTTATTCGTTTTGATCTTGAAGAAGACTACATCAGGTGTTGGAATCGTCAAAAATGGGATATCTTTGGTCATACTATGAGGGTTACCAAATGGTCCCCTGATTTTAAACCTAATGTGGAATCCCCTGTGGTTCCGGTTTGGTTAATTTTTGAAGGATTGCCTATTCATTTACATGATAAACGAGCTATGTTCGTTATTGCTAGTCTAATTGGTAAACCCTTAAAACTGGACGTTGCTACTACTACATTGGCCAGGCCATCTCAAGCTCGAGTTTGTGTGGAGCTTGATCTGACTAAGGAAATGCCAAATAAGGTCTGGATTCAAACGGGCAATACTGGTTTCGTTCAATCTGTGACCTATGAATATCGGCCTCTATATTGCTTGTCTTGTTTTCACTTGGGACATGACTCAAATCACTGTCCCAAAAAATGTTTGGATGGAGGTCCCAAGTTGCTGCCTGTACCCAAGTCACAGACTGCCCCTTCAACGTCTAAGTCGTTTGTGATCACTGAAGAGCCCAAGATTGGTCCTAAATGGGTTCCTAAGCCCAATCAGGATGCGTCTAAAGCTATTAATAAAGGAAACGCGGGGAAGGGGAATTCTGTCAATACGGAACAAGGTATTAACAATAATTCAACTGCAGACAAAGAGAAGGCCATCATGGTATTTCAGCCAGCCAGAATGATCCAGGATGACCCTTCATCATCAAATCCTCAGGTGACTACTATTATTGAAGACTCTGACACAGATACTGAGGTAGTCTATCATGAGCCTCCTCCTGGTTCACACATTACTGATAAATCCACTGAGGTTTTTGAAGCACCACCTGTAACACATGCACCTGAGATTATGAATAAAATTCTGGATGTCCAACATGAACCTCCAAAGAATCTCAATATCAAGGAAAACCTGCATCACATTCTTCATGGAGATATACCTGGACTTGCACACTCCGATTGTGATAAGGTGCTTGATGATTTCTCCATCCAGTTAGTGAAACAACATGTGGATCCAGAGCTTGATGCAAAAGAATATGGGTCAGATTCAGATAAGCCACATAAGTATGAGAGTAAGCAGGAATGGTTAGAGGTGCTCCCTAGTTTGGTTTCTAAAGTTCAGATTTTGATGGCATCTAGGGCAGTTAGGGAGGACTCTGAACTTCTCTCAGCATTGGTTCAGCCTAATTCTAATCAGGAACAAAGTGATAATGGGGAGGGCTTTATCACCGTGGGAAGGAGAAGAAGGAAAAAGGTTAGAATTCATCAAACCCCAGGAGTGGTCACTAGGAACGCTGCCAGGAGGCAGGCTCAAGCTAAATCCCTCCCTTCCTCATGAATGGTTTAATTTGGAACGTAAGAGGTCTGGCTGCCTCCGGGCCAAGACTTTCTCATTTGGTTTCCAAATGGAGGATTAATTTTTTTATTGCTATTGAACCCTTGGTGGACTCTAATAAGGCTGACACTCTTAAATGGGATTTTGGCTTTACTAATGTTATTTTCAACAATAGAAATAAAGTGTGGATATTTTGGGACTCCAACAATATTACCATTTCAAATATTACTTGGGGAACTCAATTTGTCCACTTTCAGTTTGCTCATGGGGCAAACTCTGGCTGGATCACTGCAATTTATGCTAAGCACACACCTGTGGAGAGAAGAGAATTATGGGAACAATTATGTCAGTTTGCAAATAATATTAATGGACCTTGGTTAGTTGGAGGTGATTTTAATACTATTATGAACAATGATGAACATAAAGGTGCAACTATTCCTGATATAAATGGCATGCTTGAATTAAAGGATTGCGTCTCTCAATGCGATCTAATTGACATTCCCTATTCAGGGTGTCAGTATACTTGGACAGGTGTTAGATCTAGAGGGAGGCTCTGGAGGAGATTGGATAGATGCCTTTTTAATGAGTCTTTTCTGGATCTGTTTGATCAAATTACTGTTACAAATCTTAATCAGGCTCCATCAGATCACTCACCAATGTTGATTCAGTGCCTAAATCTTATGCAATCTGGTCCTAAGCCCTTCAGGTTCCAAAATATGTGGATCTCACACTCTACTTTTCTAAATACTGTTGCTCAAAGTTGGAAAGGAATCTCTACTGGGGGTGGCATGCATGGTCTGGTGGTTAAGTTGCAGAAGCTCAAAAATGATTTGAAGAAGTGGAATAAAGAAATTTTTGGTAATATCTTTGATGATATCACTTTCTGTGAACAGGAGGTTGAAAAAGCAGAACAAACCTTCCTACTTTCTTCAACTGAGGCAAATAGAGAAGACTGGCAACTGAAAAAGGCCTTGCTTTTGAGTAAATATAGATTGGAGAGAAAATTCTGGAAACAAAAAGCTCATATCAAGTGGCTTAAGGAAGGAGATTGTAACTCTCACTACTTTCACTCTTTTGTCAAAATTAGAAGGAAGAAGCAGATGATTAGCAAAATTCAAAACTCAGATGGCAAGGAACTTACTGTTGTAGATGATATTGGAGCTGCTGCAGTAGATTTTTTCTCGAATCTCTACTCAGTGGAACCTGTGACTGAAGATAATGACATTCTTAATTGTATTCCTGAACTCATAACCCAGGAAGATAATGAGTTACTTACTGCTATTCCTACTAAGGAAGAAGTAAAGAAGGCCATCTGGGATTTAAATCAGAATGGAGCTCCTGGACCTGATGGTTTTTCTGGAAAATTTTTCAAGAAGTGTTGGCATATAGTTGGGGTTGATGTGGCTCAGGCAGTCCAGGAATTTTTTATTGGGGTTCCTCCTCCAAAAGGCTTTTCCAGTTCTTTTATTGTTTTAATTCCAAAGTCTGACTTCCCTACTACTTTTTCAGAGTTCAGGCCAATCTGTCTGTCAAATTTTACTAACAAAATTTGCACTAAAGTGTTGGCCTCGAGACTGGTTATGTTACTGCCTAAAATCATCTCTGAGGAACAAGCTGGATTTGTTAAGGGAAGGGATATTTCTGATCAGATTCTCTTGGCACAAGAAATGGTCCATGCTATTGATAAAAAAATAAGGGGATCTAATGTGGTGATCAAGCTTGATATGGCCAAAGCGTTTGATAAACTGTCTTGGAATTACTTATATCAGGTGCTACTCAGATTTGGTTTTTCTAGCAGGTTTATTTCTCTGATTAGGAATAATCTTCAAGCAACATACTTATCCATTTTGATTAATGGCAGCCCTAAGGGGTTTTTCCAACCAAAAAGGGGGGTTAAGCAGGGAGATCCTATATCTCCATTTCTATTTATCATAGCGTCAGAGGGCTTTTCTAGAAGTTTAAAGGCAAGAATGGATCAAGGTCTTATTAAGCCTTACTGGATAGGGAGGACAGGATATCCTATTACTCACCTTGGTTTTGCTGATGATCTCCTCATTTTTACTAATGGAGATTCCAGGTCCTTACTGAACTTCAAGAAATTTGTTAATGAATATCAAACAGTTTCAGGACAAACTGTAAACTTGGAGAAGAGCAGTTTCATTACCGGGAAAGGAGCCACCTATAGAAGTGTAGTTATTTCCAGAATTCTGGGGATGAAATGTTCTCACCTTCCTCTTAAATACTTAGGGGCCAATCTGCATAAAGGTATTAACAGATATCAGTACTGCAATTGTTAGGTCCCTGTTTTCTAGACTAGAATATGTATGTATGGAAGATAGATCTGAGAATGAAGCTTTCCATTGATGTGATGAAGAAGTTTACAGAATGATATGAATGTTAGCGTAAAACTTCTATCACGAGAATAGGCACTGCGGCACAGAGAATGTTGAAAAGCTTAACCTAGCCTTTCCCTTAAGGCATATATATAGCCTGACGGGAAAGGTAGGTTTTACAATCATTTGGGCTCCCTTTTCTAGGAGGCCCATACTTAAAAAGGTATAAAACCTTTTATTACAAATTACCTTAAAAGGCCTATTCATTATTCTAGCTAACTATAAACTAGCAAAGTAACATTGATCACAATTACAATAAAAATATCTCTAACAATCTCCCCCTTTGTGATCAAATGTTCTTGCTTCTTCTTTCCTTCACTTCTGAGCTTTAAAATAATGCTTTCTAAGATTTAGTGCATGCTCGTAATTTCTGAGAGACCTTCTTCTGTCAAGTTGTTTCTCGATGGCTTTTAACACTTTGTCAATTCTGGTTGCTTCTGTTAGTTCATCGTCTGTGGCATCTGCATACTTCTGTTGTTTTTCTTCAAATTCTTTTCTGATAGGTTGCAGTTTCTCCTTAATGATCTTCAGCGTTCCATCACAATACTTGTTGATTTCTTCTGCCACCAACAAGCGCCTCTCACCTTTGTGGTTCAGATAGATGATAGCTAACGGGCGATCGAAGATGTAATAGGCTGGATAGTTCTCAAGTTCTGGCCCGTAAAGCTTTGGTCTTGAGAGGTTTGTCTTTGGCAGATTTGTTTCTAGGGCCATCTGAAGATCATGGGAAGCAAAGAATTTGGCTTGTCTGATCATGAAGCGCTTGAGTGCCTTGAATCCCTCTTGTGTAGATTTGTCCCAGGTGACTGGAATTTCCTGGAAGGCTAGATACATATGATAGATGTCATCCATCTTTAACATATAAAGGTCATTTTCTTTGCAGGTAAACTCAGTCCCGTCGGAGCGTTGCAGGCGGTAAACAGAGAGTGGGATGTCTTGATAATTTATTTCGGCTACATTTAGTATGCTCCATACTGGGTCTTTTGCGGTTTGCAGTTCATGTTGCCACACTTCTCTCTGTTTCCCCATGTAATGATGACTAAGCAGAAACAATTGACCACTCTTGTTCTTTCCTTTCAGATGATTGAGTCCACAGATTTTCAATTCGTCCAATTCCTTGACGTTGTCATCTTTCCGCCATATACGCTTTCTGATTTCCTCTTGGAAAGGAGCATTGATGTTAATATTCTCCCAAGGCTTTTCACTCCTGGGCATTCGAGCCGCTGTTTGTCTTATGATGGATTCCAGCTCCTTGGGAGGTTCCTGATAGTTTTCTCCTTCCTTAAGTTCATCATCATTAAGCAGTATTACATCAGCAGCACATTTAGCTAGGAGCTCTCTGAGATAGGCTCTTTGCTGTATTTCATCCACATTCGTCCATAGCCGAGACCACTTGTTGTGAACAAGAATTTCTTCAAGTTCGTCATGCATTCGATCATCAGGTTGGCTAGAGGGAGCT